GTTATGCTGCCTATTCCACTAATAAGAGCTAAGGGATAGTAGGGCATGACGGGCACCCATTATTGTTTACACTCTTACAATTTTTTTCCACCTTAAATATAATTCTCCAGCTGAGCATCTTTCAGAGCGTGACACATAGAATAAAACTACCCGAAATAAAAAATATATAAATCAATAAATAATTAGTTATCATATAATAAAATATAGTTCTTAAAAATGCTCATTCTGCCCCCCTGCGGGCACAGTGAACATAGCTGTAGGGTACGATGAGCGCGGGATGATTGAAATAATTCGATGGTAGGTGAACAACAGTATTTATATTAATTAATTTTTAATGATATTTAACAAACATAAAAAATTTATTTAAGAAACATGAAACATTTATTTGTTAAATCAATGTCCATTAAATGTAATATCACAAGTTACCAATCTGTTTGATAAGTTATTTTAATACCACAAACATCTTGCCTTAATCTAATAAATTTTGTGTTTAGTACAAATAACTGTATGCCAATTTCACATCAATGTTGCACTCTAATATTATAAAAAAAAAGCTTAATTAAAATGAAATATATACGTAAAAAACCTCTTCAGTCTTGCTAGTTTAAGATTGTAGGAAAAAAGAACTAAAATTTATAGGATTCATATATGAATATGCTATAGCAACTGAATTTACCAAAGAATAACTTTGTGTAATATTTTGAATATTCGATATGAATATTATGAAAATTTCTCTCCATCTTCTTTTTGTATCGTCACACTATTCTTATTTTTAATCAAGTCACGATCCACAGTTAAACCTACTTACTTATAAAATAAGACAGACTAGAGAAATTCAAAGCTAAGACTAAGGTTAAGTTAATCAGCTTTGTTTTGATTCGAACAGAATGACAGCGTCTGCTGCAGACGCAGAGTTCTCAGGCTCATTGTGCCTCAAACGCGGTGCCCATCATGTCCCCTAGAAGCCATGTTTTAAAATATATATAACTTTTTAATGGTGGAAGATAAAAATTTTTTTTCAACGGATCTTGAAAGTAAATCAAACAGACTGTTGGAGAAACTTCACGAGATAATTACTGGAGATAATTTTTATTGTAAAAAGAAGCCGTGAAGCTATCATTGTCCGCAGGGTTATTTATTAAAATATTTTTATAAATTTTTACAAATTATTTAATTACTTTTTATCATGATACTCTTTGAGGAAAATAGTGTTGATATTTTACAATGTAAAAAAATTTATTTGAGAGAAAAACATTAATTTTTTCATTGAGTACATGAGGTGCCCGAGTTACCCTACAAACTCACGCTGCCCTACTATCCCTTACACGCTTTTATGCTTAAGTACTTGAAACTTTTATTTGTGTTACTGACAAAATAAAAAAAAAAAAAATCATAGATCTATTTCAAAATGAAACAGGTTTATCTTAAAGTAATTTTTCGTACAAATAAAAAAATAAGAGCTTTATATAGATCTTATATAAAA